GAGGCAAAAAGTCCCCCAAAAGGTGTAAGATTATATTTGAACAGCTCCTAATCTTCACCACCGCAAAAATGTTGGATCTACTAAACGACACTGCAAAATGAAGCAGTCCACTCATCCCCACATGTACCGTTATTATAAACACCATTACCATGGCTAGTCAGGTAGGACTAACATTAAGCTAGACGTCATAGATCACAGGAGACCATGGTTGATCGAGTGGGACTTTTGGTAGACTACCATATCGGGATAGACCGTCAACTATACTGGCACTACTGGCACACATTTTTTTATACAGGTCAGGTCCTTGCAATAGTTATATTGATGAGTAATTACCTCCTTCATTCCTTTACTATAGCCTGGATGAATAATTCTAAGTTTACGAGGAATGATGAGATGGCCCAAAATTCTTTCATGTAGATCTGCTGGAATTTTTTTATCATATAGGGGGAGGGGGGGGGGGAGGATTTGGAATCCTTTCATGTTTTCATGAATTATGTGTTATAACAGTTTCATGTTAGACAGTTTCCTGCTTATAAGTCAAACCAGCCCTTACATACGGCCACCTGTCTGAGACAATCACATATGTACAAAGGACCACTACACACTTCCCCCCTTGTGTTTTTTAAATATATTTGAAAATATAATACTAATACATACAGGTAATGACATTGTCTTTTTCTCTCAACAGTTGGTGGCAGTATTGGACAATTTCAACTGAATATAATAGACCTGGGTTTTTTTCGTTTTTTTTCCAGCACATCAGTCCGACACCACAATTTTGATGGTGAAGCCTACAGTAAAACCAATATTTCTTTGATGACAAAGGAAGATGAAACCCACACATACGTAGAAGCTTTCAGCCCATACGGATTCCGTCTCACTTCTGGATTTAGAGTGCTCGGACCATGTGCCCTGTTCCCTCGAGCTGTTCTTCACTGGAATGTAAGTTTTTGGGTTTAAAATGTTTAATTATTTTTCTATTGCTGAATCGTGGTAGCTTGGAGCTCTTAGAATGTCAAAGGTTATTCTACAGTGTATTCTTCTTACCATGACCTTAGCGAGCCTAGCACTTTCGTTCTTTATCTATTCCCCTCTCCTCCCCTCAGTCAATCTTGCCTCACTCTCTTTTGTTTTGATTGATTTTTTGTTATTAAACTCAACACCTTTTATGTCCATTTAAAAACACATTTCTGTGTGGATTTTACTGAGAAATATTGACCAAAGGCACAAACAATGTAAATTTGCTGTTTCCAAGGACACTCTAGCTTTGGAAGTCACCAAATTTTAGCAACCATTTTCTCGCTGATTTTACGTCTGACACCAGGCAACTTCCATTTCCTTCAATGGCAGATATCTCTACTTTTATTACAGATAGATTTGTATTTTTTCACTTAAAGCAAGACAAATGAACAAGCTTTAAGATAATACCAATAACTTCATATGCCATTAGTCAAAAAATTGTCAAGTGCCTGATTCCAATATTTCGTTACACATTTGGTCATCTGGCTATAGATCTATCTAGTCATAAATCTAGCCTAGTTTATCATCCAGTGAGTTGTGATTGATAGCCTTGTCTCTCATGAGTGGAGTGAGAAATTGCAGTGTGTATAAGTTTATGTCAAAAACACCATGTTTGGCCAATCTGACTGGAATTGAACCCATTTCATCCATAAGAACTCTAGTTCAGTAATAATTAGCAAGGCCACTAATTCTCAGCAATAACTAGCAAGGCCACTAATTCCAGAATGACAGACAAAGACTGTTCATTTTTTTAAAAAGACATTTAATTGCACCTTTTGATAATGAGAACCATTCCCATTTTGATTGAAAGTGAATTTTTACATGAATGTTTTTTTCTTTTAATATCTTCTGTGAATGCAGGTGTCATCTGCAGACAAAATTACTCCAGAATCTTTGTCTCTCTTCTGTTTGCTGGAACCAAAACCAGGTAAAGGCATCTGGTTTCTTGAGATAGTACAATTGAAAATTTTTGGGAGTGCTTATTTAGGCCACATATGGCCTAAATAACGTAAAGGAGGGGGGTTTTGCTTATTTAGGCCACAGGTGGCCTAAATAAGGTAAGGGAGGGGAGTTTAGCTTATTTAGGCCACACATGCTCAAACTACCGGGGGACACCCTTTTCAGGCAACTGAGTTCGTGCCACTTTCATAATGGTACACCTTTCTCATTTAGTACAGTTTTATCTCAGAGTACAACTTATATATATTGTAATGAATATTGTAAGAACAAAGAACGATACACAAAATTTTGCTCAATCCCAATGGTTTTGAATAAGGGCAAGATTTTTCCTTCATGGAGGGGCAAAATCTAGGCTACCATTTTGGCACACTTTGGTCAAGTGAAAAGGTCAAATCCTCCGAATGGACTTCCAGGTCAAATTTGGGGTATAAAAAGTGTGTACACAACGTGGCTGAGTCAAAGTTACACTATCTTTGCCTGGGTGGCACTCTCTCGTACTGTGTCGTAGTAGTACATCTCTCGTACTGTCTCGTAGTAGTACATGTAGATCTAGTAGTAGTAGTAGTAGCAAAGATTGTGTAGAGAATCTTTGGTAGTAGATTCTATCTAGTAGGCAGTTTAGTGAACGTGCACGCGGCAGGGCTAATCGGCCTCGATAAGCCCCGTAGACCTTTGTGATTGGCCACGAAGCCTTGTGTTTTGATGGGTCTGAACAACTTAGTGTTAATCGCACTGCCACATACGACAGGCCTACATCTTTTTAAAAGGAAAAGAAAGGTCATCAAAATTGTTGAATTTGCGTGAAAATCGATTCGGTAGAACTGGAACTATTAAAATTTGCTTCTGAAAACAAGTTACAAGGCCATTTTTATAACTCGATGAAATAAAAACTACTGGCTGTGTTATTCTGTATAAATTATGAAACTTCAGGACGTAGACCTATTATTATTTTCCAACATCTTTTGACGCCTTAGCTATAGAGGTTGAAGTTTTCACAACACTAATAGATCTAGTACTAGTAAAAGGGCTTTCCTTAAAAAATGCATAGATCTACAAAAGCCGAACCACCAAATCGACCGGTCAGCGACCCGGGCACCCCGCTCTCCCCTGCACACTGTGATAACGTGTTGCTTCGGTATAATTATTCAACTATTAATACGTGCGGCTATGGCAATTGGGATGTACGGACTGACAAAGCGATTCACAGTTTTGTTTTTATTTTACCATATATTTGACTTTAATAGTGCAGGTGATAGCTAGATCTAGATTCCGTCTAGAATCAGTAGTAGCAGGCCTATGCTAGAAAGGCAGCCAGAGAGCCTAAAACTGCTAGATCTAACTCATTGCTATGCCTTTGGGCTTTGGAATTGAAATAAAACGAATTGCACAGTTTTAGTTAATTTTAGATTCAGCAACTATCTGTATTTCCAGAGTTAATAATAACAAATCTCACCATAACAATCACTTGTACTTTTATTACAATAATTAGATCCAAATTTTTTTTCTAAAATCTGTTTTGCGCAAACTTAAGACTTTCTCTACTTGTAGAGCACAGAATTTACATTGTAAGCCTCTGCTCGGTCTTTTACTTTTAAGTATATATATACATATAATAAAATACGTATAGATCTAGATCTATACAATCATTTTATGTTATTTTCTGGATATTTTTAAAACTCTTTTTTTTTAACATGTCATAAAGTCAAATTGTGCCTTCTCTTTGATAAGAATGGCATCAGCAGTGGACTTTTTAGACAGTGAGTCTCTGATTCAATATAAAAAAAAAAAAATGCTAATCAATGAAAATTGCAAATTGATAATAGTATAGTCCTGTAGACGATAGGTGGACTCCGGGGTCTGCATAGCGAAATATTAGATTGTAGGATGTGAACCCCGGGGTCACCGTAGTGAAATAAGTAGGTTTCTTTAAAGATCGGTGGACCCCGGGGTCATTGTGTTGAAATAAGTAGGTTTAATTTTAAAAGGATTGGTGGACCCCGGAGTCACCATAGCCATAGAGGAATAAGAAGGTTTAATTAAGGATTGGTGGACCCCCGGGACACCGTGATTAAACCTACTTATTTTACTACGGTGACTGCATGGTCCACCTATTCTAAAACCTAACTAGTATTTCGTTAGGTAGACCCTGGGGTCCACCTTAAACCTACCTATTTCATTACGTTGACTCCAGGGTCCACCAATCCTTAAAATTAAATCTAGATCTACATGTACTTATTTCACTACGTTGACCCCAGGGTCCACCAATCCTTAATTAAACTTAGATCTACAGATTTCACTACGTTGACCCTGGGGTCCACCAATCCTTATTAAACCCAGATCTACTTATAATTTCACTACGTTGACCACGGGCTCCGCCAGTCCTACTATAAAATAAACTGAGATCTACTTATTTCACTATGTTGACCCCGGGGGTCCACCGATCCTTAGTTAAACCTAGATCTACTTATTTCATTACGCTGACTCCGGGGTTCACATCCTAAAACAGCATTTTGTTAGGTAGACCCCGGGGTCCACCTATCCTTTTGGGGCTAGATAGATGGTAGACCCCTTGGTCCGGCTATCCACTTCCTTGATAGTAACTGAAAAACATGCCAGTTGTCATGAATAGTGAAGAAAAATGCGGGAAAAAAAAGATAATGAGGTAGACTATAATTTGTCCAAAAAATTGCAAGTGCAAGTGAAGATCATAAGATAATTTTGTTATTTTCTGGTCATCTTTTCACGGTTTATAAAATGTTCCAGTGGGCCTACTACTAGATCTATGTCTCTGAAGAACATTTTGCTTGACTTTATCAGCTTTTTTCATGTACAGTCTGTGCCGGCTTTAAGCACTCCGGCCTTAAGCACGTTTCGGACTCAAGCACGCTAAACGGCTCTTACCGAATTTTTGCTATATAAATTACACGCCTATAAGCACGGTAACTTCGGCTTCAAGCACGCTTCATTTACAAGACAGTCAATATTTTCATGATGACACATCGAAGTTCGAACACAGTTTACACCGCAGCAGTGGAGTGTGTCAAGAGAAACACAAAGAACGCAAGTGATGGACACACACACTCACATCGGGCAGAGAGGAAGGTAGAGAGATGCACACAGCCGTGCGCGCGGACATAGGATCTAGCCTAGGCCTAGGGCAAAGCTACACACGATAAAAAAAAAATACAAAGAGGGTAGGGGAGACGAGAAAGGGTGGCTGGCTGCGATTTCACCTTTGACCCTCGCTATCCATTAATCCTGATTGTGTATCACGCGCGAGGTGGGATGAAGGCGGTGGTATGAGTGGCACAGCGAGCAGTGGTACGCACAGGCAGTGTGTTACAGTAGGCATAGTGTGCTGTATCGTGACTGGCCGTCTAAATTAAGTTTTCATTTCCCATTCGACCACAAAACAAAATCAAACAGGCGAACTAAAACTACCATGGCGGGTGTCTAAATAACAGTGCACACTTTTGCGGGACCGCTATAGGCCTGCTTACAAACAAAGGGAAATAGCACGGGAAATTTTCTACCTGAAAATCTCTGGATTATGTCTACTTCGCACTTAAGCACGCTTCGCCTTTAAGCACGCTTAAACTTTCTCCCGATGACCGTGCTTAAAGCCGGCATGGACTGTACTTGAAAGCATAGAATATAATAGTTTCACACAAATGTATGCACAAAGCCTTGAAAAAGAAAGATAAGGTCATTGTTGTTGTTGCTTTTTAACGGAATCCGTTTTACGTTGAGAAAAGCGCTAAAAACAAGTTTAAAAGTTTTAAGAATGCCCATAATATTAGGAATCCGTTTAATAACCATGAGCTGTTAGAAAAAAAAAGAGAATGAAGAACTAAATATGACCATTAGTATTAGCATTATAAAGATATTGCCCATTTTGTCCAATTATCCTTGCAGGTAAAATCACCCTGTACTGCACCTCAATAAGCACAAAAATAATATTTCTGTGACTTTGTATAATAGTGTTTTGTCGTTGAGTTCTATGTAAAATTCTCAACAAAATACAGTGGAGTCCACTTATAACGAGTCCAGAAAAAACGAGAAGTCTGTTATAAAGACACTATTCTAAAACCCCGTTTTTTTCTCCTCTTTACCTTTGTAAATAAAATACTGCTATAGCGCTATCAGACAAACATGAGAGTCGGTTATAGTGGAATATCGCTGCTGTTCTGCACAGTGCATAGGTCAATTATACATAACGTAAAACCTCGCCAGTTGAGAAATTTGTTTGTGATCTTGCGAAACAAAGAATAGGAGAGCCCATGTGCGTCAATAATGAAGGCCGGAGCGACTGAGTAGGGAGGGTGTGGCTTGCACAGACAAGCAGAACGCATCGTGTGATATGCCAGCGTAAGCCTAGTTTAGATTATCAAGGCCTACCATGCCTCTCACTTCTCCGATGCGGGGATGGAGAGGTCACAGCAATGTGATGGATGGAGCGAATGTGTGACGTGCGCAAGCAGACAGAATGCACCACAGGGAGTGGTGGGGTGGGGGAAAACACAGCGGGTGAGTTAGCTCAGAGCCCTTCCTTTCTGATCGCCGACGCCGAGCTGTCAGTCCACATCGTTAGATTAGATCTAGCGCTAGAGGAAGAAACCTGATTCGATTTTTGATCAAGTAAGACCTAGAAGTCATGTTGAACAAAATAATCATCAGGGGAGATAGCAAAAGGAAATAAACAGAACACCAAACTCATAGATTAGGCCTACTTTACAGTTTCCCTTGAACTTATTACTGGATCCCTTATAGCGAGAATTCTGCTATAACAGACATTTTGCTCCGGTCCCCTACCTCTCGTTATAACAGGATTCCACTGTAATGTACATTTGGACCATACAACTGAGATAGACACTCATGCGCACAATAACATTCACATATTACACACATACAAACACACAATTACATTTACTCTCGCTCTCTAGATCTCTCTCTCACCACAACCACACACAAAACAAACACATACACACACACACTCACACACACACACACACATACACACACACTCACACACAGACACACAACTCTTACCCTTGGTCCTCTTATCATTTAGTATCATTCTCTATTTTGAAATAATCCCCCGCACTAAATAAAAAGATCAGTAGAATTTCGACCTTCCGAATCCATGGTTAGTTAAAAAAATCTACCATATGATGTGGCCTAAATAAGATAAGGGAGGGGGGTTTAGCTTATTTGGGCCACAGTGTGGCCTAAATAAGGTAAGGGAGGGGGGGTTTAGCTGATTTAGGCCACAGTGTAGCCTAAAACTTTTCTACTTTCCAGTAACTTAAATACGGTATACATAATAATGATATGATTAGTAGAGGCTGTAGTAATATTATATTTCTGAAGATTTTCTGACATGTTTCTGATCACTTTTCTATCCTCAGACATCTTGATCATTGGTAAGGGAGACTGGGATGCAACTGTAAATAAGGAAATAATCAGATACTTGAGGAGCAAAAAAATCAACGTGGAGATTTTGCCTACAGTAAGTGCAGAGCTTAATGTGTTTTGGCTCAGGCAGCACTATGTCAAACCGAAAGAATAATTTAATATCTAATTGTTAAAAACATGTTTTGTAATTTCTGGTCCTCGCCAACGACTGTCAATAATTTATTTATAGAGACACCAGCAATCCATGTATTCTGGTCCTCGCATTGAATATTCAGTTGTCAGAGACTACCAATAAAACACATGGATCTGTGCAGCTTTTCCCTTCTTTGTTGTGATCTGGTAGGCCAAAATTCTGCACTGTGGATCTGATGTGGAGGGTATTTTTCTAAAAAGTGCTGTACAGTATAGTTTCCATAGTGATGCACTACAGTAGCCAGCCAGAGTCCCAAAAAGCTGTTTGAGTGGATCAGCTTCTCATGTATTTGTTTGGTAATGGGGAGAGGGTTTGACCGCATCAATTTTGGTGTGCACATGCAAGTTTTGATAATGCCTGATTGTGTTGTTTGTATATGAAATATAGGTAATGTAAGGATTGATTGACAGGTGTTTTGAAGTGTGAAAATAGTGTTTGAACCACCTGTATGGGTTTTGAATGGCGCGAATGTATTGGGAAAGGTTTGTTCACATGCATTATCAAATAATGGACTCTAATGACAGAAATTAAAATACAAGGGGATAGAGAATCAAATGTTTGCTGGTTATGACAAAGGTCTGTGTAATTGTTTCATTTGAGCTGGACATGTGGGAAATCAGTCAAGTCACTAATTCGTTTTCGTTAATAGTTTATAAAGTGCACCGAGTATGTTCTGGAACATGGATATGAGCTACTTACAGTCAAACCTTGTTATACTACAACCCTTGGGACGAGCATGGAGTTGGTGGAATAGCAGGGCTGGTGGTTTAACAGGTTTCCTGTGTTAAAATAGCTGTGACTGCCCAACTTCAGGGAAATGATTCTGTTGTGTGATCTGTGTTTAAAAAATGTCTTTTTGCTGGGTTATTTGCATGTACATATATATGTATTCGAATTTTAGAGCTGAGAGCTCCCCTCCCTCCCTCCCTCCCTCCC